AGACCTGTTACTTAACACAACAGGTCTCTTTGATAGCCATAAAGAGACCTGTTTTGTTAGATAACAGGTCTCTTTGTTTTTTTTTTTTTTTAAATAATATAAAACTCGACAATATACAATTATTATTTTGTAATTATTCCATAAACTTATATAATTATTGAATTAATTGGTAGTAACTTACAACGAGTGACATTTACAAGTATATAGGAACAATAATTTTACAAGTATAAAAGAATTTATGAAAGTAATTTACAAGTATATAATAACTAGCAAAAATTGACAGGAATAATCCCAACTTTGATCGATTCGCCCAAAATAATCCCAACTTTCGATTATTTTTTAATAATCTGAACGTTAATATAAATTTGCTCCCAATGGTCCTGAGTGACCGATAACCTGTTGAATAGGTTTTTTTAAAAAAAAAAATTAATTTATATTTATATTTAAATTATATTATTAAAAAAATGTCATCGTGTGATTGGCTACGAATTAATTTATATTTATATTTATATTACCAGTTTAAAAAAATTATTTATAAAAAAAAAAGGAAAAATTGAAACCACCAACCCAGCCAGCCTGAACCCTACCCTTGGCTGCCGCCGACGCCTAGCTGGCTCACTCCCTGGCTGGCTGCCGCTCGTTCCGTCGATTCATTTCCCCCCCTCCCCCGCCGGCGAATAAGAACCTATCCGTCTTATCTTCCCGACTTCCCATTTGGTTTTTTGGGTTTATCCCTTTTGTTAATTTTTACGTTTTAGCTCGTACCTTGCATCTTGTATATGTAGAAGATGGTGGCAAGCCAGGGTAAAGGGATTTGGGGAGGATGGTGGTGCGTCGGGGTGGGGGAATTTAGGAGGATGGTGGATCGGGGTGGAGGAAATGCGAGGACAGTGGCAAATCAGGGTAGGGGAATTTGGGGAAGGGTTGTTCGTGGGAAAGGGAAAGGGATGGTGAGGTGATCTTCGCCGGCGGGAGAGGGGGGAAACGTGCCGGCGGGATCCGCCAACCAAGGTGGGGGTCAGGCGCTGGGGGCAGCGGTGTTGCCGTGCTGGGCTGGTGGAGGTTTTTTTTGTTTTTTTTTAAATTTATTTTTTTTCTTAATTAATTATTTTTTAATTGATTGTTTTTTTTTACTTTAATTTTTAGTTGATTTTGTTTATTATTACTTTTTATATTTTTGACTAATCACGTCCTGACACGTGTCAGGTGACTTGTTATAACAAGTTTTATAACCGGTTGGGATCATTATAAGCAAATTCATATTAAAGTTCGGATTATTAAAAAATAATCAAAAGTTGGGATTATTTTAGGTGAATCGAGCAAAGTTGAGATTATTCCTGTCAATTTTTCCTAATAATTAATGAAAATAATTTACAAGTTACCAAAACTAACAACAATTCCATCATTTTATACGGCAAGTGAATGCAACACATCCTTGGTAATTTCTTTAACCCTCCATACATCAGCTAAGCGAGTTTCTTGAATTGCTCATCCTCCTGTACACCATTAAGAGAATCAATTTTTTTTAAAAAAAAAAGCTCCAAGGCTTAATTCAAGTTAAAAAAACTATCATCAAGTTCACACTCTTTGATGCACTCCTGATCATAGCGGATCAAGAATACATCATAAAAATCCCATCTAAATTAAAAATCATATCTTTCAATTGAATGGGCTATTAAGAATCAAAACTTAGATTAAAATTTAACAGCTTTTGTAACAAACCAAAATAATAATAAAAAAGTATAAATTACCCATATTCCCAGGAAGATAGAAAATTGTTCGTCGGTTCCAATATAAAGGGACAATTCATGAACAGTGAATAATCACAAATTAGTATTACATAATTGTTGTATTTTTTTTTTATAAAAAATTTTGTAAACGAATAAGAAATTAAAAAAAAAAATATTGAAGGTTGATGATGTTGATTGGGTTTGAGTGTTTAACAGCGAAAGTGGAAAATGCAACAACAATAACAACAACAATTAATCAACACCACCGACATTCTCACACTCCGCAACCAACAAAAAAAACCACTGCTCGTCTCGGCCAACACCACTACACCACCCCACCCTCGAATAAAACTACTCCAGCGCTCGTATACACCACCCTCGACCCACACATTGAAAACCCTTTCCAACCCTGTAAAAAACCGAAAACTAGACCCAACCCCGTAAAAAACCCCAGCCACCCAAGAAACCACAAAACTATCGGCCTATATTCAAAGCCACGATGAAAAAAAACTCCTTCTCATCCACCTAAAAACCATTTAAAATACTGAAAGAAATAGAAATGGAAACATACCTTTTTCAACATTTCAATTGTGGCTTTATTTGCTTAGACTTGACCATAAAAACCTAGATCTAGAAATTCATGGTTAAATTTGATCTTCGTCAAACTTGAGATTTTATTGGTGTTGATGAAATCAAATGACAAGGAAGAAAGAGGAGGGATCAATGCATAAGAGTACGCCAGTGTGGGTGAGTATGATAGGACGACGAGCTGAGGTATTGGCCATATTTGAGCATCTTGAGGAGAGGGAGAGGGGAACTGTTCAAACAGAAGATCATAAAAAAAATAATCTCAAGAGACAAAGAGAATAGGGAGAGTGAAAGAGAAACGGGTGGCATGGGAGTATGAGGGGAAGGAGAAGTGAAAAGGCAATCCTAATTTCACTAAAATTTCACCAAAATTTTGTGGGGCCTTACTTACATAAGAGACCAGTTAAGCTAACAACGGGTCTCTTATTCCTCTCTCTCAACCATTGTGGTGGGCCCTTACATACATAAGAGACCTGTTAAGTTAAATAACTGGTCTCTTATATCTAAGAGACCTGTTGTATTAACTAACAGGTCTTTTATTAGAGATCTCTTGGCCATTTTTGTAGTAGTGAATCAAGAGTGGTATGTTTGAAACTAATTTCAATCCTATTATGATTTATAAGGGGGTATTATTATCTCTACTATTCGCTTGCTTATAGGTTTCGAGACAAATTATTCACAATGTTACGCACATATAATTATTATATTATTATCTTAATTTGAATTCAATGGTGACGAAGTGCATATACTTTATATATTACGCACTTATATGGTTGAAACTTGAATGTATGTCAAAAAAGAAAGTTGAATGAAATTGTATAATGGTTACATGACCAAACACTTTGTACATATATTAAATTCAGATTTTTACCTCTATAAATTTGATTCGAGAATTCGCGATCACCATTGTCAATTTTTCAAGCTAGCTAACATGAGGCATTGATTGTTAAATTATACAGTCGTAGCGCAATTATTTTACCATCACAAGAAATACTTTTCTTAAATCTATATGATACAGTACTTTTCATGTAGATAATGTTAACTAACAATACATTAATGATACCTATCGAAATAATACTATTACATTGATGATAACTACCAACCGATTACTGTATGTAGTGGAAAAGTGTAGTAGCAAAACCACTTGTAACTTGACGGACATGCAATCTGTAGTTATACCTTCTTTAGAATTACGCCTTTTAATTAATGTAGCTTTTTTCTTCTATACCATTTACTATATTTTTGTCTCTCTTTCTTTAGAATTAATTTTTATCAAATAGCCCTTTTTTTTTTTTTTGAAGAATTCTCATTTTATCACAATAACCTAGCTTGTTTTTATATGCTTGGACCGTTTTCTTTCGCTCTCGCAAACAAGTTACTTTTTTTATTTAATTGTTAACCTAACAATTAATCATGGAGTTACATATTATATTTTTTACTCGACCTGTTCCTTGTACTTCATATCACAGCTTTTCATTAAATATTTAAGTTTAATTTAATTATTATTAGTGTGTGACCCGGACTTTGCTTTACTCCGTATGATACTTTGAATAATTTCTTTCTTTTTTTTTAATATTATATTAAACACTTTGATAAGCTTGTTAATTTTTTTATTGTGAGTAAATTAAAATGCAATGACAACAATAATTTTTTTTTGGATTTTTTTTTTAATTATTATTTTTTATTTTTTTATTCTACCTTATAATACTTGATGTATTTATGTATAAATGTGGATTAATAGAGCATGATTTATTTCTAGCTAAGATGGTGATACATGTGGTTTTCATTCAATGAGGTTTGGTGTTTAAATCTCTTTGTATGCACATAGACAATTTTAGACGCCTTTTAATATACAGTATAAATATCTTAATTATTAGTTAAAAAAAAAAAACTTGTCAAAAAAAATTAAATAATTAGATTAATACTCCGTATATCAGATCATGACGAATGTAACAAGATTCTACTATGACTATTTTTTTCCCCATTATGTATAAGTTCAAAGAGTTAAAAAAATTGTATATGTCATGAACAAGACCAAAATATATTGTATAAATAGTGCAAAATTTAAACATAAATTCTTATACGTGGCTGGCAACACATAAGGGTTACTTCGTTAGCGTAATAGAGGTTACTTGGTCAGTGTTAAAGAGGTTACCTCATCAATTTATAGAATTACTCGGTTAGTGTTATAGGGGTTACTCGGTCAGTATTATAAGGGTTACTTCGTCAATGCTATAGGAGTTACTTTGTTCTTTTATAAGTGATTATACGGTGTAATCAGCCGCACACAAGACGGGCTGAAATTTAAATCTCGTCAAACAAAAACAAATAAAGGAGATAAATTTCAAGAAATTCTTTAAGGGCAAAAATGTCAAAGCAACCGAAATAAAAATTCCACAGAAATTACGCTTAAGACCAATTCTTTACCAAACAAAACAAAATTAGGAAGTGATCTTAACCACACGATTGTAACGGAAAGGTTTTCCCCGTTTTCCTTTGTTTATTACCACACTTTTTAACCGACTATCACCGGTCATTTCAACAACCGTACGTGGCATAATCTGATTAGCTAAACCCACATTTGGCCTAATCCCATTTTCATAACGGCGCCGTCACTTCTCCCCCGTTACCGTAACGGCGTTTTGGACCACTTTCATTTTTATAACCCCAAAATCTGAACCGTTGATATGGAATCCCTTGCTCTTTCTCTCTCTAAAAAACCAAACAATTTCTTCCCATCTCTCTCTTTCACAATTTCACGAAAGGATAACAAACAGGAGAGAGAGAGAATTTGGTTCAGAGAAAAATTATGGGGAGATATTTGGGGAAATGTAAAGGTGTTGTCGGCGAAATTGCGGTCGTCGGAGTTCGAACCAGAGCTCGAGCTGCCCTAGCTATGGCGGCGGCAGCAGCTAATACTACTACTACTTCGTCTCCGGCGAAGAAGATCAAGAAGGTTTCGAAATCGTCGTATAATATTCCTCAACTAAGGAATCGGCGGAAGAATTTGTCGGCGCCGGAGAAAGAAACGACGTCGTCGGAAGTTGCGGCGGTTGTTGTAGAAGAAGAGGTTGCGAATTGCTCGAGTAGTGAGGTGATTACGACGGCTAGGTCGGATTTTCCGCTGTCTTGTTGCTCAAGCAATTATGATCAATTGAGTTCAAGCGAAGCAGAAGAAGTTGTTAAAGATGATGATTGTTTGGGAAATAGTACAGCAGATCCAGAGGTAATTTAATTTATTATCAGAAATTAATTTATTCGATATTATTATTATCATTATTTCTCTGAATTTGTGCAAGGATGTTGAGAATTTTTTCAACTTCCAAAATTATTATAGCAGCAGCAGCAAACAATTAATTCTTCAATTCTGGTTTTTATTGCTGTCTCTGTATTCTGAATAAATGCTTGTCGTTTTTTTTTTTTTTTTTTTTTTTTTTTTATCTTTCTAATTTTTTTCAAATAAGTCGGTGGAAATTCTTTTGAAAATTTTAATAATTAATTGCAAATTTGATGATAAACAGATTCAGAGTGCTGCTGAGACGTCGTCAAAGCAAAAGGAAGAAGAGTACCATAGAACAGAACTTAGGTGAGAGAAATTCTGTAAAAGATTCTCTTACAATAAAACTGTTATTTCATTCAAATTAATTAAGTTTTTTTCAAAATTAAATTAAATTTCATGTGATATAAGTTCATCATACGTTTTATATACAATGTACCGGAAATTTGAAATTCAAAACGAGTGATCTTTTAATTTTAAAACGTCTTGCCTTTATATTCTCCCTCTCTCCTCTTTTTGTTATTTTTCTTCTTTTTTCTCTCTCCTAACTCGCCATGTCAACTCTCAGAGAAGCTACAACATCAGACGGCCAAGATTCTCAGGCAACGAAATCAACGGCTCAGATCAGGATGCCGTCTGATTCAGAAATCGAAGAATTCTTTGCTGCTGCTGAGAAAGATATCCAGAAACGCTTCAGCGATAAGTAAGCCAGAGCATCCTTTATTTCCTTTAAGTCAATAATTTGGACCCAAGCATTTTCCTTATTTTTCAAAAAAAATAATACTATTAAAAATCTGAAATCTGAACAAAACGCGTCGTTTTTTCAGGTACAATTTCGACATAGCAAAGGACCTTCCATTAAAAGGTCGTTACGATTGGGTTCAAATAAAGCCATGAACAAAGAAACTGGTGAATAGTGATGATGATGAATGAATGACTGAATTCTTCCACAATTAGCCGCTGAAAATTGCAAAGTAAATCTTTAATTTTAGCTTTTTCTTTCTTTTTAGCAGAAATTGATCTAATTTCTCAACCCAACCAAAAAAAAAGAAAATTAGTAATTCTACTGTTAATTATTAGCAGTTAGTTTTCTCTTTAAAATTAATTTTTAGTAGTAGAATTATTTTTTATTGTTGGGAAATTGAAGAAGAATACATTCGCTAGAAGAAGAAGAAGAAGTAGTGGGTAGTACTAGTGGGGTTGTACATTCTGTCTCTCCTTTTGTATCTTCAGTAATAGTAGTATCTATTACTCTTTCAGAGAAGTCAGTTGATTTCAAGTACAAAAAAAAGAACCTCCCTTGCCACTTTTTCAGTCTAATAAATTACAGTATAAAAAAATTAAATTTTAATTTATTTAAATTTTTGTGGTTGTGAAAATTATTTGTAATTTTCCGGCCTCCAAAATTGGGGGGTGTCTTATGTCTGATTGATTTTCTGTTAAAATTTGTACGATCAAATGCAGTCAGTGCTGAATGCTGATGGATGCTTGCATTCATTGATTATCTTTCTTTTTTTTTTTTTTTTTTTTTTTTTCTTCCCCTCAACTTCCTCGCATATTTGCAGAGAGAATTTATTTTGGGAATATGCGGTTTTTTTGTTGTTTTCTTTACCCCCGTCCTTTTCTTGGCTATTCTATTTTATTATTGTACTCTTTATTTTTTTTAAAAAAAAAAATTAATTCTAATAATTCCATCTTTAGTCGGTTCGCTGTTATTAATCCTACCTTTAGATGATTCTTTAATAATCGCACCTTTACAGGAAATTTTCATCTATTAATCCCTTATGACCGGTAACCTATACATTGATTAAACATATTTTTTTAATAATTAAGTGACACGTGGCACTAAATAATTGGTAAAAAAAAACTAAAAAAAAATTCCACAACAAGTCAAACGACCACCTAACCCCCCAACCTCCTGCAACCCCTCCTCGGCTCCTCCCCATCCCCACCGCTGGAACCCCCATCCCCACCGTCGGAACCCCCAATCTATCGCCAGAACACCCATTTCCACCCCCTCCTAACAAAAACCGACCCAACTCTCCCCTAAATACACCCTGATTTTCAATAAAAAAAAAGTAAAATAATAAAAAAAAAACCTTCAAGAGCGGTTAGAGGGGGTTTTCGGTGGAGTTTCGGGGGGTGTACAGGTGTTTTTAGGGGAGTTTCGGGGGTTTAAGGTGGTTTTCAGCGGAGTATCGGGAGTCAATGGCGGTTTTCGGCGGAGTTCCGGGGAAATTTGGCTATGGTGGTTGTGGTGGTTTCGAGTGTGGGTTTGGGTCAAGGGTTGGTTTCAGTGGTGGATTTGATCGGTGGGTGGTTGTTGATTCCGGCCGGCCATTTTTCGGGGGTTCATGGTGGAGGCCGGCCGGTGTTCATTGGGGCTAGGGTAAGGGTTAGGGTTTCACGGTGGGTGGAGGGGTGGCTGGTGGATTTTTTTTTCATTTTTTTTATTTTTCAACCAATTATAAAATAACACATGACATTTTAACCTATTAAAATCGGTTACCAACAAGTTAGGGACCAATAGAAGAAAATCCCCTATAAAGGTGGGATTATTAATAGCGAACTGATTAAAGGTGGGATAATTAGAATCAATTTTTTTATTTTTTTTTTTATTAATTTTCATAATTAAGAAAATAAAATTATGAGAAATTGGGGTCTAAGTGTGTACTGTAGAACAGTAGAAGTTTGTATAATTAAGTGTAATTGATGGGTCGTCTTGGCGTGTAAGTTAAGGACACGTTGACAAGATTAGGAATCTAATCTAAATTATACGATCGAGTCGCATGTGATTCAGAGACTTCCATTGCCATGGTTGATTAAACAAAATAATGTATGCGATTATGTGAATATACGTACAAGTATATTATTATTATTATTCGAAATGTATTATTGAGGAGCTGGCGACGACAAAATTGTTTTGGAATATTTTGTATGATGATTGATTCATTATATATTTTATTATACAAGATGAAAAAAGGGGCTTTGAATTTATGTACAGAAAAAAAAAAGGGGGGGGGGGTAAAAAAGTGTGAAAAATTGTGATTCTGAATCAGAGGAGGGGCAGATGATTGAGGTCCAAGCATCACACGGAAAGTGTGGTGAATATGTGAAAAGGATGTGCCAGTTTACCAATAATAGATAAAAAAAAAAAAAAAAAAAAAAAAAAGAGTTAAGTGTGAGAATCAATTTCAATTAGACTATAAAAGTTGCCTTTTTTCTCCTGTATATTTTCTCTTCCTTTATGTCACCATTTCCGTGTGTGTGTGCAAACATTCATGGTCTTCATGGATCAAAGTTGTAAAAGATGACTTTGATTCTTTTTATTTCAATTTTTGGACCTTCATTCTTTATTTTTTCTTTTAATTCTTTTTTGTATGAACTAGTACAATTTTGTATTCCTACTTACGTTTATTTGAATTCTAATCGTTTTTCATTTCATTTTGTATTAGTAAATTTTGCTCAAATTAACTTTATTACTTTTATGACAATTTTTTTATTTTCGCTTTTCTTTTCAAAGTAAAATAACTTCAATTGACGGATTGTCCCTTAATAGTTCACTTTTATTGTTGCTACAATTAATGGAGATATAGCGTAGTAAAACAAAGGTAGTATACATTTGTTAAAAGGTTTGATATGAAAAAAACGAATTTGAGTGACACGTTGATGAAAATTCATCATCATCTATGAATGAGAAGGGTATGTGAAGCAATGTGAGTCGAACAAAATCCTCATCCACAATGGTATGAATGTTACAAAGGTATCATAATTTAAGTAGCTACAGAGGACGACTTTGACTGCTCATCCATTTAGTATGAGCTTATAAATGCAGTGATTATTAAGCCTTTGCGTTAAATTTTTGCGTAGAAATTCTTATATGCAGAGCTAATGTACAAGGGTAATACATCCATTTGTTACAGGAAACATTGATACATTACTACTCCTAAATATTACTAGTGTCACTTAACAACTTGTTGAAGAATAGACCTTCCAAGTATTACCACATGTAAGTGTCCCACGTTGATTGAAGAAGAGAGAGTTAATCAATTATAAGGCTAAGGGGCTACTCCTCCTATTGCCATATGGTTTTGGGATGGAACCTCCTTTGGTCTTGTGAAGTGGACTCTCTCTTTTGGTTGCGGGTGTGGCCCAGACCCGTACTTAACACAACTCCATATTGAGAAACAATGACTATTGCCGAAGAATTATAAACTTATTCATAACCCTAATTTCAATGTGTATGGTAACGAAATTTTTTTGGATGACTTTTCTTTTAAGTGAACAGTCATTCTCATACACTCTGTTTCCTTTTTTCCCACTCTAACCATAAACTGTTTTTTTGTTATAGATATGGGATCTCCAGTGATGAATGGTGTAGTAATAGTAACACTTTGGAAGGTGGTTAGAGCTCATATAGACATGAAAGTGGTCCTAAAACTAAAAGAAATTAATTATGCAAGATCAAAGAATTGAGGAAATAAAGAGAAAGAGAAAGGGAAAGGGTGGGTGGAGCCCACTTTTGGGGGTTAGAAAGAGCAAGGGTAGGGTGTGTAAATTGGCAGCAACATAGTTATCATTGCATTTCATCTTCATACTTGGACAATTCAGGAATGAGGCACATGCCTCAGATTCTCTAACTTTGTCTCTTGGGATTAACAAATTAATTGACACTAAAACAACTATTTTTTCTTTTCTGAATAAACACTAAAACAACATATTATTACCACATATCTTGGGTTTCCACTATATTTAGGTTCGAAATAAGGGATATATAGTTATGATTAGGATTTCAAATTTTATGTGTATTTTTCGATTTTACAATTAGAAATTGTATATGAACATGCATGTATTATTATTTCATTTAGGTGGATTTTCTTTCAAATATTTGTTAAGATGTACTCCATACATGTTTAGCACAAATAATTTATTTTTAATACAATCGTGTTAAATGCCACAAAAGCATTTGAACTCACACCTTATACAAACTATTAGATCAATTGCTCGCTTTCTTGCGTTTTTATAGGCTAATTATATTGACTTATTTTTTAAAGGATTTAGCTAAGCTTGATCTAACATGTACAAGTATATATTTCAAATTGAAGAAATTTGAATATAAGATGTAGGAGAATTAATAAAGAAATTTGGAAAAGCACTTTAGTTATTTATTTAAATGTTTTCAAGAAAAGAAAATGATGATGATTTATGACAATGACGATTTTCTTTTACAAGGAATATGCGCAAAGGATTGGTCTTGGCAGGGGAGTGGAATTCGATACTACAGAAAAGGTGGCTTGATTTAGAAATTGTTTAAGAAAAACTGTTTTAATTTATTCCAATTTTAATATAAAATTATGTTGAGTCTCAGCGAATGAAGTTTGTTCATAATGATGATGCATGTGGATGTGGGTTGCTACTTTTTCTTCCCTGCAGGCAACACTTTCTCCCTTTTTGGCACTGTTAAGCTCTTTTGTTTTTCTAATTATCAACTCTTTGTTGTTTTTTGTAATTATGGGTGAATATCTCCTTCGCCTCAATTATTCCCATTACTTTATCATAGAAAAATGATACTTCATTCGTCCCGTTATATAGTTTTTGATGTGCTTTTTTACGGTATTTAAGAAATGGAAGGAAAAAGTAGATGGAATACATTAAAAGTGAAAAAAATTATATAAAAATTAGACAAAAGTACTAGACAAGTGGATAATTTATAGACAAAAGTATAGAGAGAAAAAGTGGAAAAAAGTATTGTACAAGACAAGTGGATAATTAAAGGGTAAATTAGAAAGTTTAATGAATAAATTAAAAAATGAGGGTATAATGACCTTTACATACTATTCAAAAATAGATTAAAGAACAACATTTTAGGTATCCAAAATAGGAAAACAAAAACTATAAAATGGGACGGAGGGAGTAGACCTGGAAAATGGGTCGTTTGGGTCGGGTATGGGTCAGGTCAATTTCGGGTCGGGTCATTTCAGGTCAATTAACATTCGGGTCCCGTATGGGTCGGGTCGGGTCATTTCGGGTTTCGGGTATGCCTCTGGTCAGGTATCGGGTCGAGTTCGGGTCGGGTCATTTTCGAGTTAAGTATGTTCGGGTCATATTCGGTTCGGGTCAAAATCAGGTCGGGTCATGTTCGGGTTGTTTCATTTAATTTGTGGATCTAGTTCAAATCAATAATTTTATATTTTATTATTGTTATAATAAGAACTATCAATTTGGTTTATGAGTGTGGCTACAGTTGAAGATGAACAATTTAAATTATTTTTGGCACCAGACATTTTTAGTTCAATTATAAGGTAATTTTAGTTCGGGACATTTCGAGTATTGGGTCTGTTCGGGTCAATTTTGAGTATCG